CAAAGATTGATTGTTGCATTGGTCAGATTTCTACTGTCTTTCAACATTGTTTTCTTTTGCATTGTTGGGCTAATTGTTCTCGGTTTTGCTTACTGCATTCTGCTTCCATTCATAAACATCTCCCCAAATTTCACTGAACTCTTCATCATCATCTTTTTGTCATCTTTTCTCATAGTACAGTAAATAATCCATTGTATTCATATACCACAGTTTGTTCAGCTTGATTTCACAATCAGCTCCCGACATAGCACATCCAGATGGGAAAAAAAAAAATTTGGCCATCATAAAAATAATGAGCCTCTTTATCATGACCTACCCTGACTGTCTTCAAATGGGAAGATAATAGACTCCCAAACCACGGTTTAGGGGCATTTCAGCAGAACTCATGTGAACAAATTGAGGCTTTCCTAGAGAACAACCTTTTGCGGGAGGAGACACTGTGCTGTCCATCCTGCATACCCAAGATAAAGTAGGAAGACTGATTCCACAGGCAATCTACTTTGTCACACTGTGTATTGCCATTCTTTTTCCCTGTGAGGGAATTCCTACATAGGGGACATGACTGGAAAGAAAAGTTGGTGACTTGTAGTTCTGTCTAAATGGAGTACACTTGAAGTGTGTCCATCCTTTCCTTAGCTTTTGTAGCTATTTTTGGAGAGGCTTGATGCCTAATTATGGCTCTCTCTAATCTACTCCTAGATTGCCTTAGTCAGGAAAATTTCTTTCTCTGTGTTTGCTTGGCCTTCCTTCTTGAGTTCTATCTGCTTCAGCAGAACATTCTGCCCATCTTGTTTCTAATCATCTCCACGTGAGATTGCCATGCTTCAGCTGCTGAGGTGTCTTGCTGGCATCCAACTTATTTATATTCCCTGTCTGGTGAGGATGAGCTGTGGTGGCCATATGGACACGACTCATTTTAATATCACTCCTACTCATGCCAAAATGCTGATTTATAGGATCCCTGGCCGGAGTCCTATTCTTAGAGGAAGCAAAGATCAGCTTATGTCTTTGTCTGAGAGTCACTTAGGAGAGAAACTTTTAAAATTCACACTTAGCATACTGTAGTCAGTATTGCTTCCTTGACTGAGGGTAAGCAGAATGGGCAAATAAGAGATTGAATGGTGATGCATTGAACCTTCTAAACTGAATAGCAAACTTTTTTCATGTTTTAGCCTTTAATTTGCACCAATCTGTGTTTGAAAAGATTCTTGCTTAAGTTGCATTTTCCCTGCTTGGTCAGTTTGGGATTTTTTTTTTTATTATTTTAAAGGCAAGTATTAGCATTTTAACCAGTCAGCTAATTTGCCCTTCAGAAAGACTGGGAAATGAAGACAGAATAACTAATGACCCAGGCTTCTGATCATGGTAATACCTATGCACATTAATTCAGTCATTTGCATTGGTTGACCCTATACCTGGTGATTGAAAGACAAGAGCCAGTGTGATAGAATGGATGCAGTAATGGAATTAGAGTCAGGATAACCTGGGTTCAAATTCGACTTCTTATTTTCAGTAGCTACATTACTTAACCTTTTTGAGCTTCACTTACCTAATCTATAAAATGAAGATAATAATACTTTCAGTAACTACTAGAACCCCTCTTCAATTATCCCCCAAATTTCATTCATAGGATAGGTTCGCCCCTCCCCCTACCCCCCAACAAAAACAACTACCATGTTCTAGATCCTCTTTGAGTGTGTACTCCCAAAACTATCGTTACTGAAACCACACCAATGTATACCAGAGGATTCAATTAGCTCAAGGCAAAAGTATTTACTAAAATGGTAGAATAAGGAGCATAATATCTCTCCTGTAAACCCAGGGTCCATTCTTTCATAAATGCATCCACCATTGAGGGGAGTGTGTACCCATTGGTTTCAACAGTGGAAAAGCACACGTGTAGGAAATGCGTAGGCAGCAGCTAGGCAGTTAAGTGGATAAAATACTGGGGCTGGAGTTAGGGAAACCTGAGTTCAAACCTGGCCTCGGACACTTACTAGCTGTATGACCCTGGGCAAGTCACTTAACCTTTTTTTTGCCGTAATCCGCTGGAGAAGGAAATGGCAAACTAGTTGAGCATCTTTGCCAAGAAAACTCCATGAACAGTATGGTTCACAGGGTTGTGAAGTGTTGGACATGACTGAACAACAAGAGAATGTGTGTGGCCCAGAGATGTGTTTATAAGGGTTTCCAAGCCCTTAATATCTCCTAGTGCTGTTTTTGCATTACTCCTTGCTAGGTGCAATTGATCTGCCATACTAGACCCTTAGTTCCATTGCTTGTCCATAATCTCTACCATCTCCAGCTGCAGGCTAGCTGAAATCCTGGTCCAGGGTACCGCTATGTACTTCAGGAAAGAAATAGAACCTGTAACCTGGAATCAGCAGATACTTAGTTAAAGACCCCATTGTTTCTAGCTTTGGACTCAGCTGAAATCTTGGCCTTTGGTACTGCTATGTAATTCTGCCGTGGGGTATCGCTTTTCAGAAAAGAAATAGAACTTATACTGTAGGGATCCATAGGAGTCTCTGTTCTGTTGTTATTGTTGTTGCAGTTGTATCCAACTCCTTGTGACCTCCTTTGGGATTTTCTTGTTGAAGGTATTGGAGTGGTTTGACATTTCCTTCTCCAGCTCATTTTACGGATGAGGAAATTGAAGCAAATGGGGTTAAGTGACTTGCCCCACACAGCTAAGAAGTATCTGAAGACTGAGGTGAACTCAGGGAGATGAGTCTTTCTGACTCCAGCATTCTATTCACCCTGCCACCTAGCTGCTTTGTCTCTATTATAGGGTGTGTCATCCTGTCCTAAGCAGGATCCCAGTTCCATGCCAGATTCTTGACTCCTCACTTACTGAACTCTACCCTGCAGCTGCGGCCCCTTCCCTCAATTTGTGCTTCTGCTACAAAATGCCGTTACCTAAGGAATTTAGGGGATATAACTCCCCTCCCCATCCTGCTATACTTTCCAAGAGGCACATGGGAAGAAATAAAGAGTGAATTGCTTTTCGAAGGCTACCAGAGGTATGGCTTATCCCTCAGCTTACCAGTTGCTGGAGTGCCATTTGTCATTTGCCTTTATCCAATAGTTAGTTGGCTACTGTTGACTGAGGAGGTTTTAAATTCTGATCTGCAACTATGGCCCACATGCTGTTATGTTATATAGTTCTTTAGGAAACTGTTCTTTAAGAAACTCTTCCATACTCTGTTATTAAATTGCTTAGATAACTCCTGAATATTGTATTCTCTGATTCTGTAGAAAACTTATAAAGACCTTTTTTTTTTATAAAAGAAAGACAGTATTCAAAGTTTAAAACCACTATGTAAATGTTATTACTATTAGTAGTAAGCAAGCAAGCATTTGTTAAGTTCTTTCTATGCACCAGGCACTGTGGTAGGCACTAAGAGCATAAAAACGATTCCCTGCCCTTAAGGGGTCTAGCAACAAATTTGTAGGCAGTGTAATCATATGCTTTGACTATTTTTCACAAATAGATTTTTCTTTGCCTTTCTAACTCATGTTCTGCAATGGCTGTGTTTTTAGAATGTAAATTACATTTTCATAAATCATATTTGTTGTATAGTGGAAAGAGTAATAATGGGTTAAGGACTAGTCTATCAACCTCTGTGACCATGGGTAAATGATTTTACCTCTGTGCTTCATTGTTTACATTTATAAAATGAATATAATAATATTAAACTACCTAGTGCTCAGTGTTGCTGTGGGGAAAGTCTTTTGTAAGCCCTAAAGTGCTATATAAATGTGTGCTATTCTGATTATCAGCTTCATTATTATTAATACCCAGTAACAATTTCAGAGATGATTTTCATACTTTCTGATTAAATTGCCGTTGTCAGTAACTCCAGACACTTTGAGCTTCTAGCTTCTCTTTCAAATAATTTTTGGTTTCTAGACAAATATTTAAATTGTGGAAGTTCACCATTTAAAAGACCCCTGCAATCAGTCACTTCATCAAACTCTGGGTTATTCTGTAATATTAATTAATAATCACCTTCTAATTCATTTGCTCTCTAAGTCTGAGTTCTCCTTAGGTTTTCTTTTCTTTTCTTTCTTTTTGGTGAGGCAATCGGAGTTAAGTGACTTGCCTAGGGTCACACAGCTAGTAAGTGCCAAGTGTCTGAGGCTGAATTTGAATTCAGGTCCTCCTGACTCCAAGGCCAGAGCTCTATCCACTGCGCCACCTAGCTGCCCCCTTAGGTTTTCTTAAAGTAAAATATACCACAATTCTGAATGTTACTCTCTGGGTTCTGTTGAGTTGGGATCCTAAGGAAAATTTCCAAATATTGCATTGGGGCTTGGTTTCCACACAGAATTAAACTGGATTGGTGGGATAACAGTGCATTTTTACTGTAGAGGCTTACATTTTTGTTTTGTTTTGTTTTAGCCTTTTAAGTAAAGAGACAGGAGTACTAGTTAGAAACGGTAGGATATAACATGTTAATGAGGTCAGGGTCAAGTGTGTAGGCCAAATGAAATTTTTATAAACTAAATGACTTGTAAAAACTAGATATAAGACTCCCAGTAGGTTTTATCAGTCTATGTGATGTTGCTCAAATGAAAGCATTTAAAGATATAGCAAGTAAAAGAAATGAAGCCAGAGCTTTCTGTGGGTGAATATTCTTGCTAACAAATGCCATAGGTTTATCTATATTCTGCCTGAGGGGACTGTGTTGGTGGAGAGAACCACTACTGATCTCCAAACTAAGAGACCTTAGAGAGCACAAGACACTATGTGGGAAACCAGATGCATTCATTCATACATTTGCAAATGATTAAAAAGTACTTAACTAAATCCTAAAATATTTTTATGCATTTATGCTGAAGTATTCAGAGGTGCCTATTTGACTGGCTAATTTTTAAAGAAAATACATATATGGTTTTAAAAATACAAACTATATATTTTAATATTGTTTAAGAAGGCAATATGTTCCAGTGAGACCTCTGAAAGAAGTGACACTAATTACTTTTTTCCTTTTCAGATTCTCGATACATACTTCTGCCTGTTGTTCTGCATCACCTCCATATGCATTTACAAGAGCAAAAGGACCTCATCATGTGTGCTCGCATTCTTAGCAACATATTCTGTCTCATCAAGAAAAATAGCTCAGTGAGTAAACAGTCATGGGATGTAAACATCCATAAGTGTCTTCTACTAATCAAATAACATTAAGACTTGAAGGTAAAAGAATGCCACTACTAAGATGTAAGCCTCTATGGCACTTGTTTTGATTTCCACTTGAGTTTACCTTTTCTTCTTTTCATACTGAAATAATTTTTGTAAGATAGTGGGACTGATTTTCACCCAGAAAAACTGTGTTACTCTGTGCAATTTAGATCTCTCAACTTTAGATTTTAAGAGAAGATTGTAATGGAAATTGAGAAAAATTGGACATCATGAGGAATCTCACAAGTGTCCTTAATCTTGATATGAAAAATATTCTTTGGCAAGGACAAATTCCTTCTTACAAAGCAGACTTTATTGTTTAGGGGGTGGTCTGATAGAGTGGAAAAGCACTGGAATTGGAGGCCAAAGAACCCAAATTCTAGCCCCATGTGTGCCATTTAACCTCTGAGTCCAAAGGTCCTCATTGCTAAAATGGAGATGCTAATATCCATCCTGCTTACATTGCAGGGTATCATGTGAGAAGGGATCTGGGCACAGATGGCAAATTGTGAAGCACTACTGAAATGCAAAATGTGATTCAGTAGAAAAAATACTGAATCTGGGTTAGAGGACCTGGGTTCAAATTCCATGTCTGATCTTTACTATCTGTCTAAACTCAGGCAAGTCAGCTAAAAGTCTTGGACGTCAAGTCCCTTATTTTTGTGATGAGGGTATTCAACTAGATGACCTCCAAGTTCCCTTTTAGCTGTAAGTTACAGTCTCATAACCATTATTGTTATTGTTCAAATTTATGAAAATCTTCATGACAGGTGTTGGATGTTTCTCAGTAACTGAATCCTAGAAGGCCTACCCTTTTGGAGTAAATCCCCCTGGAGCCTGGAAATATCATATCACTGGGGTTCTTAAATTGGGAGCCACAGATCCCCAGGTGGTCCATGATTAGATTTTAGGGGGTTCATACACTTGGATGAGGAAAAATACATTTTTATTTTCATTAACCTTTGGTTTCTTTCATAGTCCTATGCAATTTATTTTGTGCGTTGAAAAACATTATTCTATGAAGGGGTCCACAGGCTTTACCAGACTGCTAAAGGAATCCATGACACAAAAAAGGTTAAGAACCCTTCTCTTAGAAGTACACCTGTAGCACCCACCCATGATTCCTAAGTTGGAAAGAATTTGGCTATCATCTCTTACCTGCTTCCCTGAAATCCCAAATTTCAATATCTTTGGCATCTTGGGAGTGCAGTGGATAGAATGCTGGACCTGGAGAAAAAACTGGAGTTCAAACCCAGCCTCAGACACTTACTAGCAGTGAAATCCTGGGCAAGTCAATTATCCTCTGTCAGCCTGAGTTTCCTCAACATAAAATGGATGTAACAATAGCACCTACTTCCTAGAGTTGTTGTGAGGATCAAAGGAGATAATATTTGTACTTTGCAGCGCTTAAGGCATACTTACATACCGTCACCTACTTCATTGTCTTCTTTGTTGTTAGTCTGAGTAAAACTCTAGCGAATACCTAAAAAAAACTTCCTTATAATGGTGAAATACTGAAATGCTCTTGGTACTTGCTGGGAGGGAATTCTAGGTGTTAGGTCACAAGTTACAGTTTTCCTATTTCTATGCATAGGTAGCTTTCTTGCCCAGTTTTGTAACTCTGGCACAAGTACTAAGTCATGGTGCACATTGGCAGTGATTATTTGTAAAATAACTTTGCCATGAGCCAGATACACTATTGGACAATGATTCTTCCTATTCATTTTTGTTTCTTTCTCCCTATTATTCTATGCCTATTACCTCCTCTCAATTTTCCTTACTCCTTTTCTAGTAACACAGTGACTTGATAGTGAATGAAATTGAGTTATATGATTTTGACTCCTACTCTCCTGGGAATAGAGCTATTGCTGAGGAAAAGACCAAAACTGCTTTCCTGGAGGAATGCTGTCTGGGTATTCACCAAGAGAGGAAACTGCCCAGGAAAAGATGACCGACTTTACCTCAGTTATGTTACACAGCCCCCAGACCTCATTAGGGACTTTGAAAGGGAAAATGGGAGTGAGTGGAGAAATGAGGAGGAGGATGGAGTGGCATTGTGAGTGAAAGTATGTGTTCTTCATTCCTTTTGAATGTAAGGAGAAGAACGCCACACTTTGCCTTGTTGGGTTGGTTTTTCCTCAAACTCTTATTACTAACAATGAGAAAATAAACAGGGTTTACTGTAAGCATCAGTGAAGTAATTTTAAATTTTAAGTTGTCTCTTTTGGCTTGGGAGTGACAGAGAGTTTCTAGTTAAGGACAGAGTAGGATTCTGACTCAAACTCTGAAAATGGGGGCTGGGAGTAGCCCAGAAGATAGCTGTAATTTTTCCAGGGGATGTGTAATATACTCATAATATATATTAAGAAGCAACTTAACTTATTAAATAGAGGAGCTGGCAGTTAGGAAGACTTACTTTCAAGTCTTGTCTCTAAAAATGGCTATGTGACCTTGAGCAGGTCATTCTGGCTTTCACTCACCCAGCCAACTCATTGCAGATAGGACGCCACACATGGAATCAGAAAGAACCTAGGTTCAAATCTTGCTTCAGGTGCCTATGGTTATATGACGCTAGGCAATTCATTTTGGTGCCTCAGTTCCCTCATCTGAACAGGGGGAGGTAGTTGGACTCACAAACCTCTAATTCCATTCCAGCTCTAAATCTATAATCCTATAAACCAAGGTGAAATTGTTGATCTGTATTGATTGGTAGAGGAAGTTTCCATAATCGGGGCTCTTCAAATGGATGGAATAACAAGCCTAGACTCTGACCTCCCATCCCACCCCCATCCACATCCACATCCATACACATATATAAACATAATATAAGAAAATGTATTATATATTTCTGGCCAACAGTCCTTCAATATTTATGTTCTTTAAGGCAGAATTGCAAACAAAATTTCTTCTAATGGTTAACTACTTGTCCTCAGAATGTTTCCCTATGTAACTGTTTTGAGTGCTAATTACCAGCAGTGTGGAATCAATGTGAAACAGTGGGCACAATGTATCTGCCCAATTCTGGTGATTTCAGACATTGTGTTAGACCTGGCTCAGCTACATTATCTTTCACAGCACTGGCACTTTTGGCCTGGCAGAAAGGTTCCAGGCTTCATACAGAGGATACAGTTGCCTATGTATCTCAATTGTTATGTATGGGGATTTTATTGATAATTTTAAAGAGCTAGTTAACTATTATTTCCCATTTCCTAAAACAGATTTTTAGGAGAGAAATATATATATATGTATGTATATGGTAAAAAAGTGAAGATTATTAATGGCACAATTTTAGTTGGCTTGCCCCTGCCTAGCTAACTGTGTAGCCTTGGGAAAATTACCTAACCTTTCTGGCTCTCTGCAGTCTCAACATCCATAAAACAAAGGAATTAAGCTAGATAATTTCCAAGGTTCTTTGCAGCTCTAAAATTTTATAATGCTCATTCTAAATTTGGAAAATCTGTTTTCCCATTATTGTTTAGAAAGGGAAATAGAAATCTATTGTTATATTCATCACAAATACAATATATACATGTGTATATGTTTACATTTTTTTCTCTTTAGGAAAAATCTGTTCTGGAAGAAATAGATGTGATTGTGACCAGCTTGCTGGACATCCTTCTGAGAACCATATTAGAAATCACTAGTCGCCCTCAGCCATCCGGCTCTGCAATGAGGCTTCAATTTCAAGATGTGACGGTAAGATCATAAAAAACCAGCAACATTGGGAAGGGAACAGTTTGTATTTGTTGGTGCTTTGGTTATTTTAAGGGTAGGTCAAAACTGGGTAATATAGGGAGAGATATCATGAGTGAGTTGTTTTCCTTTGTAATGAGTATTATCATCTGGTAGAGCATTTCCATGAGTTTTCAATAGGTTTAGCAAACCTGGAATGGATTTGCTAAAAGTTCAATAATTCTTTAATATTTTAAAATCCAAATTTGATTTTTAATTATTTTGCTTTCATTAAATTTACTTGTCTTATAAGCCCACCACGAGATTGAAATATTTTTTTAAAGTCACAAAAAATTAAAAAAAAAATTACAGAGAAGTGGAAAAAGCACTGGATTGGGAATTCTGCCTTAGAGAGTTTTGCCACTCTAATTAGCTATGCTACTATGTATGACAAAGTCCACTAGCTTCTCTGATTCTGTTTCCACATCTAAAAATAAGGAGTTGGACTCTATGTTCTTTGGGGAACCTTTCAGCCTAAACATTCTCTGAAGCTAGAAAATACACATATAACATTTTGTTGGACTTGTGATCTCCTCATGCAGGTACTCTCTTCAGTGATACAGATTGCAACCCATGTAGGTCTTTTCCCCATGTGTTCCTCTTGTCCATGTCCTGTTCTGAATCTCCCACAGAGAGTGTACTGGACAGGTCTGCCTCTAAATCTCTACATTGCATAGAAATCTGTGGCACACATGGCCAACTCAAAAATATAATTGAGAAATTGATATTAATATATTTTTATATTTAAAACACCTTCATTTGTCAAAAAATTTGGTCTGATCAACTTTGATAGACTTGGATCTTCACAGGAATACGATGATCTAAGACAATTCCAAAAGACTCATGATGGAGAATGCTATCTGCATCTAGAGAAAGAACTGTGGAGTCTGAATGCAGATCAAAGCTTACTATTTTTACTTTTTTGATGTTTTTTTCTTGTAGTTTTTTCCTTTTGTTCTTATTCTTCTTTCACAACATGACTAATATGGAAATATGTTTAATATGATTGTTTATGTATAGTGTGTATCAGATTGCTTGCCATCTTAGGGAGGAGGGAGGGAAAAATTTGGAACTCAAAATCTTATAAAAGTGAATGTTAAAAACAAAAAAATAAATAAAAAATGAAGGATGAAAAAAGAATTTGGTCTTGCTTAAAACTACTGCTATGGGGCAGCTAGGTGGCGCAGTGGATAGAGCAAAGGTCCTGGATTCAGGAGGACCTGAGTTCAAATCCAGCCTCAGACACATAACACTTATTAGCTGAGTGACCCTGGGTAAGTCACTTAACCCCATTGCCTAAGCAAAACAAAACCAAAACCAAAACCAAAAAAAAAAAAAAAAAAACCCAAAAAAACTACTGCTACAATAGTGAAAAAAATTTATTTGCATACACTGATAAACATACCATTTTTCAAATGTTATTTGTAAATATGTCTGCTCTTAATAGCATGCCAAGCACATCTTCTTAGAATTTATGTTAACTAGAAATAAATCATTTAACTTCTCTGAGCCTCAGTTTCCTTATCTGTGAAAATCAGGGTTCAGATAAGATAATGTCTAAGCTTCCTTCCAATTCTATTTCCTAGGATCCTATGAAATATACTTCCTTTGGTACTATGTGAAAATAACATTATTTTCCTACTAGAATATGAAATTTTGCTTTGCCTTTAAATCACATTGGGTTTCAGAAGGTTACTCAAGAAACGAACTATTGTTAACACTTCAGATCACCTACCTACTCTCTCAGAGCTTAGCTTTACCTGCGTGGGCAGAGTGATATAACTAAGCAGTATTAAACCTAGCTTTCCCACCTTTGTCATAGCAGGGAAAAGAAGAAAAGATCTTTCTTTTGGATTTGAAATGGAAAATACCATTGTGTACAAAGAAACAAAAAACAAAACCAACTTAGAAAGAAAGTTAATTTCCCTTTAATATCATCTGGTGCCATTAGGAATCATCATGACTTTTTATAATGAGAGTATATCAGCTTCCTAGCAATAGGCATCACTCTTAATCCTGAAAATCAAACAGAACACAAGACAAGGTTTTTTTAAATCTTTTTTTTTAATTTTAGACTTGAATTAAAAAATACTTTATGTGCACAGCAGAACATAAGACAGGATTCAAAATATATAGCAATAAATTTCCATTTCAAGAAAGCCTATATATTAAGTCCTATGTGTTGTGTCAAGAGCTGTCCATCTTTTCTTTGCTTCCTTGTAGGTTTTCTTTTATTCTCTGCTGTATAATTTTTACTTTGTTCTTTTTTAAGACAAGATTTTGTTAACCTCATAAAATTTTTGCACATGTCTGAAATAGCCAAAAACCTTTGAGTAGAAAAGAAGAAACCCATATATGTCAGCTTAATCCTAAGTCATTAAAAAAAATCAATCCACATTTAAATCATACAGCTTTGGAGGAAGGTAGTAGAAAGAATGCTGAACCATGGAGTCTGAGGATCTGGGTTCAAATCCCTGTACTTCGTTTTGCTAGCTGATTGTGAGCAAGTCACGTAATCTCTTTCAATTTTCCTGCCTATAAAATAGGATTGCACTACTGCCCACACAGTGGGGTCATTCTAAGAAATGTGCTTTGTACACTTGTTGAATGCAATTCTACCAACTACGGCCAAAATCTTAAATGTGACAAAAATGAGCTTTAAGCTGTAACAATGTAATAGCTAGTGCAAATTAAATGCCTTATAAAATGTGATGTGTCTAAAAAGAAAGGGTGTGAGTGAGGAGAGATTTTAAAAAAAGAAAGGAGACGACAGTGATGGAGTGCTAAGCTAAGGATCCTTCCTAGCTGGGCTATGTAACATACTTAACTAGAAAACACACTGAGCTATCTTTCTGAAGGGAAAGCTCACTCAGGATGTAAAGAATGATTTTTGCTAGGGAGTATAGATCTGTACCTTTTTTTTTTTTGAACGCATCCTTGATTGTATATCTCCTTAGACTTTTATCCATATTAATTAGTTTACAGTGAGAAAGATACCCTCTTCATTCAAAATAACTTCTCTTAGGCATGGAACATGTCAATTTCATTTTTTTTTCTGTAGAGAATAAGATTTGTTAATAATAAAAAATCCACTGCAATAAAAGTCCTATACTACATTTTATAACTTTACTGTATTTTTACAAAACTTATATACATGTACGTGTGAACACACACACACACACACACACACACACACACACACACACCTTCCTCTCATAGCCCAGAACCATCTCAGTATGGTACCCTGAATACTGTGACCAAGTTGAAGGAACTCTTTCAAATGTTGCTTGTAAACATGTCCACTATTGTATGCTTGATATCTGTTCAAACCAGAGATCTGAAGCCACATTCTCTTTTTCCAAACCAGGGAACACCTCAACTGAAAACAAAGGTCCTCAATTATACAGACTATCACAGTAAATGAGAAGGAAAAGTATTCTCATATATAGAAGACTACTTTCTCACACATTTCAGTGCTATTGACTGGAGAGGGAATACTTGTAGTCTAAGAATCTCATGATCTTATGATTGAGTCCCAGCTGGAAAACCTTGCTACTTTCCTGTAGAGCTACTGTTGCCAATTGCTTGGAGCAGCTTTCTCTTCTGAGCTTATCTATGTTCTCCAGATAGGCTGTTACAATCTAATACCTTTCAACTTAATTGTAGCTACTGCTTGACTTCTTTTCTCTAAGAAAGCTGACCTATTACCTCAGAACTATTTGAGTTCTTTTGTGAATCAGATCCACAGCCACTCCCAGCCAGCAGAGCAATAGCCTGGCAAACCAAGTCATTCTATTTGGACCACTTTATTTCTACCTCAGTAGGAACTCCCTTAAGCCTACTTGATATTTGGGTTGGGGTGAGTAAATTCCTTTAAATTCCCATTATCCCCCAGGCCACTAATAGCAGATCCATTCAAATTACCCCAGAACTTTACTTAGCTACACTGGAGGGACAATGTGTAATTAGTGTCTTTTGACCTATACTTCTTCAAATACACACAAATTACTTTCTACTCTAAACTAGAATAATAATCATATTTAAACCATACTTCAAGATTTATAAATAATTTGCTTCACAATTGCATTGTGAGGTAAAGTATTATTGGTACCTTATGGGCATGCTCTGTGAGAAGGAAGTATGACAAAATATGACACTACTGATATGGAGTGTACTCATTTGTGTTGTTCAGCCAAATTACAAGATAGGAAAGATGAATTGAAGAAAAATAAAGTGTTTTCCTTCCTATAATCAGCCACACTACAGATCCTGAGGAAAATGAGGCTTGCAAGCATTAAACAATTTGCCTATGAGGGTCAGAACTATGATTCCAACTTGGGGACTCTGAATCTTTTCATTATGTTGCATTGCTTTTCTCACTTCTGTTATGAATCAAATTATGTTCTAAAAGGATTTAGTGATATATAGTTACATCTTTTAGCAAATGACATGGAAAAATATATAATGTGGGAGTTATACTCAATGACCAGTATGACAACAAGCTTTTACTATATACCTAATTCTAGGTAATAGTAGCCTTATTTTTAAGTTTTAAAGAATTGTACTTTTCATTATTCTACCAACTATTCTTTAAACTTTAAAATGATCCCTCCAGCTGGATTAAGTGCCACTGTAATTTGCTCCTTTCAGTATTCTAATTGTACGTGGATACAGATTTTATAAAGAAGCACAAATGGCTATTTGCTTCACACCCTCAAATAATTGGACTCTACAGTTTCTTAGAATTTACAAATGCTTTTTTTCTTTGCACATAATTCTCTCAGAAGGTCTTTTCAAATACAGTTGACTCATCTCAGCATAGGTCATTTCTAGGACAGATGCTTTGTGCTCATTTGCCTAAAGATTTCTTGCAACGTGGGCTTATGGCTTCCAAAAGTATATCACATAAGGAAGTTTTTAAAAAAAATTATTGTACATATACAGAGACAGACAGACAAACAAAT